TGATCTGCTGTGCAATAAAATCGGAGCCCATGTCATCGTCGTCCCTAATGTGATTCCGTCAGCTTTCGAACCAAGAACAGCATGATTGAGTGAAATTTACCCAGTAAGGTCGACGAAGTCGACGGATTCTTCATTCAAGCTGCCATTAGGAAAGGTGGTAGAGAAGACATCATCTCCGGGTAAAGGGGAGACTCGTCGGGTTTTTGAAGAATTGTGGTGAGCAGATAGACGAGCTGACTCTGCGCCCCTTTTCCGGCTGGGCAAGGAGAAGCTACCTTGCCGTGAGGGATTCATAGTGTTTGGTGTATCAGACTGCCGATCATCTGGAAACAAAGAGTCAGCCTAAAGTAGGGAGAAAAGCATGCAGTGAGAACGTGTATCAAGAAGGTTTTGAGTATTGGAACTGCTGTGCGCGCGTATTCTTGGCTTGAGGGGTAGTCGAGCGAGCAGCGCAAAGGTCTGTAAGAAACCAACAAACTAAAAAGAAGTTGTATCACAAGCAACCAATTCTAAGTTTTTCAATATGAGACGGCGGTGGCTCTTGAAATATACAGTTTTGATGAAAGTTTACAAAGAAGGATCAAAACAAACGTCATCATACCTGAGGTAGAAGCTGTATTGAGACGTCTGTCTCGTGCGTCTTCAAGGACTTCTTCTGTTAGGAGGACAGTCAGATCAATAACGAGAACGAGGTAGCATACATATGCGGAAAGTCACTCACGGGTACCAGCCTGTTCCTTCTGGTTAAGGTTATGAAGAAGCTCTTTGAGGCGGGCAATTTCGAGGTGGGCATCTTGTCGCATTTCCTCAGCTCCATCGTATGTCGCATCGGCGAGGGACCTAAGCACAACATTTTGTACTGTCAGCTCCTCACCAAGCTCGTGCCTGCTCATCATGAAGGCAGTGTCTTGGTCAGACATTCTGAGCTGCAGCCGACGAGACAGCGCACAAGCGCAGCAGTACCCGAGACTTCTCGGTCAGCGACAGGAGGAAAAGACCAGGGGCAAGGGCCCATCCATCAAAGAAAGTTGGGTACACAGAGAGATTTGAACGACCGTGAAGAAGGTTCGGTGTTTGGGCAGACAAAAGTTGGTGAGTCGTGATAGTATTTGTTGGCTCCTGAGCACAGCCGCTGCTGTTCTTAACCTTACGATGTGGGAGGCGAGGGTGAAGCTGAGGCTGAGTGAGGCTGGAATTACTTTGAAAATGTAAGGTTGAAGGTGTTGAAGGTGGAGTGTAGGTTAACTCATTAAAGAGGTTAGGTACCTACCTACAATAACCAGGTGTTAGGTGTTGGTATCCGACAGTGTGGAAGGAAGGGGCTACGCCGTGTCACGCGTAGCCATTCACGGTGGAGAATGAACCAATGCATCTGCAGGCAGCAGTAGCACCTCCAGGCTAGAGGCTGTAAGGTAGTGAGTGGGTAGGTAGGTAGTGGGGGAGGGGCAACCCACAAACATCGGGGGCGGCTCTGATCTGATTTCACAGGCAGGCACAGGTATCCACTTTGATACACTTTCCAGCCTGGGCCATTATGGAATCATCGATATTATCACTTCCATCTACATAGTAGGTACTCCCTACAAGCAGAATTGCGCAAGCCTTCGTTTCTTTGCTTGAACCCTCGTGCACACCCATTTCGTCTATATTCTTTATTCTGTGGCTTGCATACTATGTTTTTCCAGTTGCCCGCTGAATGAATGCACGGAAAGGTGCTTGAAAGTGCAAATCCTCTTTCAATTAGCCCTTCATACAATACGTGGCAGAAATGGAAGAAACTGCCTACCTAGTTAGGCTCTTGAAAGAGTGTGTGTAACAACAAAGGCAACAGCATAGCCCCTCAACACATCGCCTCATTTTCAAGCACAGTTGAAAGGAGAAAAGAACAATATCAGATTTAAGCCAACGATGCCTGGACGAGGCGCAATTCTAAGCCGTGTCCTCCATAATAACAAACGCCGGGCCTGCCAAGCCTATCATAGTGTCGCTATCCGCCTCAAACGCCATCATGACCGTGAAAAAGAAGTACAATAACTCGTCCCTTTCATCACATTTAATCATCGCTAGTAATCTTATGCCAGACCTTTTCCACCTTATGTGTAAACCAGTCCCATATGCTCTCGTCTTTATCATCGTCGTCATCGTCACTATCACTATCGCTGTTGCTGTTACCATCCTCATCCTTACCGCCACTCTCCTTAGATGGAGCTGCTGACTTGGATGGTTTTGCTGGCTTCTTGAGCGAGACTGTGGTAGTCTTGGCTGATTCCGAAAGAGTAATCGGGACTGTTGGCCGGCCAGGCTGACTGGGCTTTTGAGGAACTGTCGGTCGTTCGGGGTGAGTAGGCTCCTCCCCAACAGTTGGACGAGCCGACTCCTTGGAGGCGGTCGGGGGGTCTTCTGGCTCCTCAGCTGTATCTTCGGGCTTGTGAACACCGATCGGCTTTAGTGGTAACCGCAATGTTCCGTTGTTGGGGCTCGGTGTCAAGCCGACTGAGTCGCACAGCATGTTGTACACTTCGATGTTTTCTATTCAGCAACGTTAGTGACACATCATTCCTTTTCAAAAAGGATCAAAACTTACGAAAGACATCAATTTGACTGTTTGCCGGATGCGGAAAGGCAGGGCCACGGGCAATAAAAATGGCCCGCATAAGGGGGTGTTCGTGATCGTAACCATGGAGGCCCCGAGGGTGATAGACAAGATTGTTCTTTTTCCCTTCTTCAACGTCAAACTCTTCCTTGGTGACAACGGCCCATCCTGTCTCAGGCACCACCCATAGAGGAGCAATGCGAGGATGCTTGGAGAAATGGTATCGCTCAGGCATGTCTACATCGCGGAGATAGACTTCAAAGTTCGGGTTCGACTTGGCCTTCTTTTTCAGCTGATTATAAAGTGGTCGAAGATCATCTGGGTTTTTGGGGCGAAGACCATAAAGGGGCCAGCCGTCGATGTGCTCAATTTTATCCGTGTCGATAAGGTCTTCAAGTTGGATCAGGCGTGAGATATCTGTTGTTGCCATGCCGTGGTCTGAGACAACAATCACGTTGACAATATTAGTCAGATTGCGTTCTTCGAGACCGTGGAAGATCTTTCCCAGCATTCCGTCTACTTTCTGGATGGTCTGGCGAATTTCAGTTGAGTTAGGTCCAAATTTGTGACCATCACTATCAACGTGAGGGACATAGGCGGCTATCAACTGAGGTCGCATGTCGCTGACATCCACTGTCTTGTCCTCCAGACCGGGCATGTCGAGAAACTCCATGATTCTGGAGACCTTGTTGTCGAGTGTTTCCTTACCGTTGAACTTATCCATCAAGCTTGGTTCAGTGTGCAGAACATGAGCCTCACTTCCCGGCCACATGTGGATAGCGCTTCGAACTCCCTGTTTCTCTGCCGTTACCCAGAAAGGCTCCCCTCCCCACCACTTGGGGTCCAGACTTTGACCGGGATGGGTGTAGTAGAATTGTGATTGAAGCTCAGGGTCCCAGAAAGTGTTACTGACGATGCCGTGGCTCTCAGGGTACAGACCGGTTGCGAGCGTGTAGTGGTTCGGAAAAGTAACCGATGGAAACGACGGGTGCATCCATTTCGGCGATACTCCTTCAGCGACGAACGAGTTCAAGGTGGGCGTAAGTCCACGCTGTAGGAAGTCGGCGCGGAACCCGTCCAGACTGATGATAAGGGATGTTGGCGCGAAAAGCGCAGTTCCATTGCTGACGAGCTTCTGGTTCACCTTGATGTACCTGCTCTTTCGGTTCTTGGACAGCTTCCAGGCCAACAGAATCAGGATGGCGAAACCAATGGCGATAAGAGAGTGGATAAAAACCCATCGACGCCAGCTACGACGTCGCTGGGCCTTTGCTTCGGCGATCAAGTTTAAATGATGTCGATCCATTTCGTCGCTATCGTCCCTCTCGCTACTCTCGCCAGTGGAACTCCCTTCTTTCATCCCTCCCTCCTCCATCTCGTACATCAACTCGCCATCTTCTCCATGCTGCGCATGCTCCACGAGTGTATTGCGCTTCTTTTGTCTTCGCTGGCGTCGAGTATTCCGTTTCTCAATTACGAGATTTTCTGTCGAACTGTTGACTGAACGATTTCCCGAACCACTTCCTCGTCGACTGAAGATTTTGCCCAGCTTGGGTACAGCAAGTCCTGAGCCTCGGCGTTCCCGTTCTTGCTTTTGTCGCGAATCGGTAACAAGTCGATCGATATCATCCTCTTCCACCAAGACAATGCGATCGTGCGCGCGCAATTCTCTGCTATTTCTGGCACGCGATATAAGCTCGTCATCGTCGGTATCGGTATCTTGATCGCTACGGGAGTGGAGTGATGAAGCGTCGTCGTCGTACGCGACAGGAGAGAGAAAAGAAGCATTATCGCGGTCTGCCCTAGAAGGGGTCGTATTTAAACGATGAGAGGACATGACAGCAGGACCTCAAAATTGGGCATTAAGAATATGAGTCTTGTCACACTTGCTACGTTGCCCGTTGTCGCATTTATTAATATGGAGGAATCCTACTTAAGGGGATGTAAGACATGGACCCTTGGATTGGCCTCGCCCAATGCCGCGAATGAGACCGGGGTTTGACTTCCACCGGGCTCCGTTTAAATCCACTTTTGAACCTGCATCGCCGTGAATGGCGCGATCTTTGTTAAATTGACAGTTTCATTGGTGGGTTCATTGGACATGAAATGGTAAATGCCGTGGCGACCTTACTTCGGAATTTTGAAGTTAAATCATAATTAGACAGTTTCGTCTTCATTAAAATCCTACAGGGAGATAGAAGTTTGAAACATTTGCAAGCGTGTTTCGTTGATACTGTAGTTAGGGGATATAGTAAATGCCGGACAGACAGACAGACATAGAGTGAGTAAGATAGGTACTTCGTTGGGATGATATCGTTCCTGGGAGAGCCCACCTGAGTCTTAGCTCAAAGACTAAAAATAAAAATACTCCATCAAAGATGTACATGCACGAAGCAAAAGAAACACATGCGGTTTATGTGGATCGAACACATGACCTTCAGATATCAATATCCCGAAGTTTGACTTCAGTCTGACGCTCTCCCAACTGAGCTAAACCCGCGGTTGCTTGAAATGGCTTTCAGTACTACGAATCAAGTGCATCGCAATTTTGCCGATGCTGTCTTCATAGGAACAAGTTGGAGCATACCCTTTAGTGAATATTCTTAGACACTAGTTTGAATATCGACTGCGACTGATGTAATTCCTGCCATATGTCTCTTCGAAATTCAAAACCCATCTCACGCATCAACTACTTCTGATATAAGAAACTATGTTGGTTAATCTGCTCGCTACTAGCCAAGAAGCTTTGGTGGCTATGGTATCTCCAAGGGAGCAGAACTAGGCAGGTGAATAACATACTCGAGGTTTACCAAAAAAGAAAAAACGAAAGAAAAAAGCCAGTTAAGTAGGCTCGAGGGCAGCCCATGTATACATGTGTGCCAGGTTGATCAATGGAAAACACAAACACTATATTGACCCTTTTCTGCCAATACTTATAACTTTCCGCCCTTACTTGCGAACCACCCATCTGCCTCGTCTCGTCCCAACAAGCTTGAGATCATGATCTTTCCAAAAATGTCTATGTCGTCTGCTTTTGCTTCGTCAAGGACATCATCAAAGATAGCGTTCGTTACTACATAGTGGTTCTTCTCCTTCCAGGCCCCAGCAAAGCTCAACGGGGTCATGGCATTCCACAAGTGCGCTGATAATGTCCAAGAGTGACATAGTCCAAGTCTCCCATCACATTGCAGGATCTTGCAGCCGACCATAATGCGATAGGTCTGTACAAAGTAGAAAGAAAACAGGAGGGTGCGACGCAGAGACTCTTGGAGAATCCAGTCCTGCCAAAAGGTCTTTGTAGGGGCTATGGGAAATAGAGGGAGCGCCCCGGCCTTTCCGTCGATGTCGAACTGGGCATAGGAGAAGAGCGATATTGCAGAAGCTTCAATGGCTGGAATTATACGCTCGGCTGATGCACGAGCGCCAATATCGCCATCATATAATAGAATGATTTGGTAAAGGATAAGAGCTTGAGTATGAGCCAAACAATCCATAGACGTTATAGGTGGCGGTGCCGACAGGAGATCGTTGACCCGAGATTCTATACTACGAAATATGATGGGGGAGTTGACACGATTCTTTGCCATATACAGTGCACAAGAAGCATGAGCATCTTAGCTGAAGTTAGTGACACCAAGTGATAAAAATGGTTAGGTTATGTCTTTACCTTGCATAGATCGAGGCATCCCATACTTGTAGAGCAACGGATGACACCAGGGTGTTTGATTCTCCAGGACCATCTTCTTGGGGGCCTCTTTGATCTCATCAACTGCCCACTGAAGGCGGTTTAGAACGATTGCCGGGATATTCCCAAACTCCTGCGTCGAGGGCGCGGTCAACGAGTACGGTTGTTGAACAAGGTCCAATGATACATCCTCTAGCGGGATATCGAAGGTTCCCAGATCGTTCGAGCTAGCATCAATGCTCGAGATAACAGCGTTGAAGTCCTCAATCATAGATCCACTAATGGAAATGGTTTCTGATCTTTCAGGGGACGAGTCATCATTGGTAAGCAGGCCAGGCGATATTGTCTCTGGCGACTCGGATTGAGGAGTCAAATATCCTTGCAAAGCGCGAGCAGGATATTGACACGAGATATTTCTCTGTGAACATCGCAGGCACGCTGGTAGAGCAAAGTCACAACGCCGCTTGGCCTTGGTGCAAGCAGTGCATGACTTCCGCCGACTGGGAGGGTTGCGGCGTTCTCTAGCGGTGAGAGACATAATAAGAGAAGGAAATTCCGCAAGAAACCCCTTTTGATATCTAAAATGTGCGGAAGTCAAAGTGGTAATGCAGAGGATAGTGGATGTAATGGTGAAAAACGAAGGTAAGACCAACAACCAAACAGAGCTAAAGCAGAAATGCGAAAGGCGCCGGAGAAAGAGCGGGTCTGGGCGGAACTCCGCCCGGTGTATCAGACCCGGACCCGGACTCGGGGGGTCTGCAGTTAGAAGGAAGCGGATCTCTGGCGACAGGCTGAACATCGATCATCTCCGCAAACTATTGCATAACTGATATAAGAGGACGTTGATTAATATTTTACAGTAATCAATTAACACACTCCTGTTTTATTTACGCAGCCATCTATCACAATAGTTTATTTCAACCCTAACATTCTAAAAACACACCGTTTCAAGTCCTTAAGCATGTATACGCCTACAGTATTCGTTAGTGGCGCTACCGGGAGCCAAGGAGGTGCCGTCGCTCGTTACCTCCGCTCCAAATATATCCCTGTGCAAGCCCTCGCTCGAGACCCAGCCTCTGAGAAGGCCAAAGCCTTGGAAGCAATTGGAGTCAAACTTACGCCCGGTGACTACGATAACAAAGAAGCACTCAAAGAGGCCATGGAAGGCTGTACGGCCCTTTTCCTTGTGCTTATGCCGGATTTCACAGATCTCACTGCCGAAAGGCGATGGGCTACCGGCATTTTCGACGCTGGCAAAGCAGCCGGTGTTAAGCATGCCATCTTCTCGAGCGGCTTCAGCGCTGGAGATCCTGATCAGTTGGCTGCTCTTGAGCCAGGAACTTTTCTGGACACGATTATGCGCAACAAGCATGGTATTGAGAACCAGCTTCGGAATGTAGGTTTCGAGTATTGGACCATCTTGCGTCCTGGAAACTTCATGGCCAACTATCTGGAGCCATTCGTCAGGATGTATCCCGGCCTTGTCGAAAAGGGTGTCTGGACGACTGCACTCATGCCCAAAACTGTTCTGCCTATGACTGATACCGTAACAATTGGCAAATTCAGTGGCGAAGCATTCCTGAACCCAGAGCGTTTCCATGAAAAGGAGATCACATACGCTGATGAGTGGCTCGAGGTAGAGATCATTCTGCAGAAGCTCTCCAAAGCAGTGGGAAGGGGATTGAAAGCCGAGTATCTTTCTGAGGAGGAGATTAATGACCAGAAGGTAACCAACCCCTTCATTTCTGGGCAGCTCTTGATGCGAGAAATGGCCAAGTTTGCGACCAAAGAGGAAGCCGAAGCATGGGGAATCCCGCTGAGCACGTTCGATACGTTCTTGGAACGGGAGAACAAAGCTATCAGGGAGACTTATCGAAAGACCGATTGAGAGGAATGCGTAAATTGGTTGCGAACCCGGGAATTGATGATTTGATTCTAGTGCCTCTTCTGGGCATCATCGTGATCACTCGTGATATACACATAGAATTATTCTCTTTGTTGGAATCCAGCTTGCTCCTTATTCAATTCGACTTACTTGAATGTATTTTGTTTATTCAGATTCAGGGTGGACAGGACAAAACTCGTGTATTTGATATGCAAGCGAGCACGATATCGCTCTGTTGTTGTAACTATGGAGCCTTCTTTCCACCAGGCACTCCAATTTGTATAGTTGAATCCCTAAAAGCCTGATACAGGCTACAGTACATATGCGCCATAACCGTCAGAACGCCCCCTAAAACGCATTAATCATTCGTTATAAACCTTATTTGAGCGTATATCGCCAAGAAAATTATAAATCCCAAATCGCCCCCATCGAGGGACAACAATAACCTGATAGACCAAACAATCATTGTGCTACCCCGATAGTTCCCGAAGGTCCTCGCTGATCCCCTGACACAGGCTCAAATTCTTCGGTTGGCTAGGCAGCATTCTTGTTGTTTCTCTCTTGTGGGAGGCTAAGCTCCTCGGTGCCTGGTGTGGTTTCACCAGTCGTTGTCTCCTGTTGGATGTAGCTTCTGTTACCACCAGCCGAGCTGCCTAGACCACTACTGGATTCACCTATCCCACCAACAGCCCAGTCCCCTCGGGAGTGTCGTGCTGAAGCCGACGCAGGATATATTCCATCAGAATCGTATGCAGTACTCCCTCTCATCACTGGATTTTGCGGCCATCCCATCGGCATACTTGACACTCGACGGTGGTGCCCAGTGATTTGATCGTTGACAGCACCATCCGGCACATCGTTTGCGGTTTGCTTTTCGGCGCTTACTTGGGAGCTCCCTTTTCCTGATGCCGGGAATATTCCGCCATTCTTTTCGTTGGCATTCTCCTTCTTCTTATGTCCCAGTATTGCGGCTGCGCCACCGCCGCCAGCAACCAAAGCGGCAAACGTAGCAGTCGTTGACGACCCGAAACTCCGCATTTGATCAACAGGACCACTGGGTGATGTTTCGTCAAAAAATATCCAAAGCATACCGGCGAGGAGACCAGTGATGATGAGGAGAGTGAGAATGGCGGCACCAGCTTTATCTCCTGCTGGTAAGGGTTTGTAGTCTAGATCAGGAGTTGTTCGTCCAATATCTTCGCCGCCACCACCAGGATTGGCCTTGCTTGTTCCTCCGGTATTTTTCGTCAATGGTGCAGGTCGGTCTTGAATCATACACGAAAGGGTGACTTCTAATGCCGCCATTTGTTGGCCCACGGTTATTTGCCCTTCGAATTTGTCCTTAGTCCAGTAGAGGCCACACATTTGACCGTTCTCGCCTCCCACACATTTGTCAGTGGCCGCAACGGCTGAAGCTCGCAAAAGTGGCATGATTAATTCGCGAGTATGAGGGGCCCATTGCGTCGTAACAGCAAGCCAGCGACTCAGATATGCTTTGAAAGATGTCTGATCAAGGTTACACAGCTTGACGGGCTCGCAAGCGACTTCCGACATGATGTTCTTTTGAGGACCCTGGAAGAAGATTTTTGCACCTTCGAGTAGATTGTCAAGACGAGTCTTCCAGACCGGGCTTTCGGTGAAGTTGTACATAGCCGCAGCGCCGAGAATCATACCGCCTGCATTGTAAGAGAATTGGTAAGGCACCAGTTTGGTGCAGTTGTTACCAATATGGCCACCGTCGTAAACGTAGTAAGACTCCGGGTCAATGAATTTGGTGCCTTCCATCCAATCCCACGTTTTATCGGCCCAGTCGGCGTAACTGTCATTGCCAGTGAAGAGGGCGAGACGCGCGCCAAGAGCAAAGAAACAAGCCTGTGAAATGGAATTTTTATAGTCGTAGCCTTTGTTCCACTATGAGTAATTGTTAGTA